GGAAGAGCTGAGTGGGAGCGCAACCGTGCAGGGCTTTCACTTCACCCCGCACGCAGGCACGGAGGCGAGGTAGCACTGACACCTCTCACGGCAGGCTGCAGGCATGCTCGCTGACATCGGTGGCATATCCCCTTTGGTCGGTATGCTTTCCTTCTGAATAGCAGGATCTATCTGCCCATCCAGTGCTTGGGGAAAGGCCAGTAGAAAGGTGCTTTTTGGGCCTCCTGACTTCCCCACTCAGGCTCACCACACAAGGAGGGCTGTCTGCTCCTCTTTCCTTCTGCTTCCTAAGCCTGAATGATGGCTTACCACCATTAATCCGCAAAACCTTAAATGGTGCTGATTGCTACAGCACGTGCTGAATTGCACTTCCAGCTCACCTTCCCCTGGTGATGCCGTTCCCCCACAACGCATTGCCATACCTTCACACAATTTTCACATTCAAAGCGTTTGCCACTGTCATGTGACATCTGGTGACGAATCAGGTTTGATTTCCAGTTGAAAGCCTTTGGACACTGGTCACACTTGTACTCCCTCTCCTCCGTGTGGATTACCATGTGCTGCTCCAAGCTGAGAAAGAAAAGACACGCTTACCTCACAGGGTAAGGGAAGGCAAGCAACTCCGACAGCTAGAAAATGGAGCCGAACGGTGCAGGCTTCAACTGGTTTTAATTTACAGACAAGGCTGAACCAAGCACTTTCTTTCAGTGGATTTACAGTTACAATAATCATGTCCGTTAGGGTCACAGTACCAACGAGGTTTGAGATAGAGAGTGGTGATTAAAGATGATGACAGAGAAAGAGGCCGAGAACCACTGGGGCTTTTTTTTCTTTAATACTAACTAGTCGACATGGTGCTTGTCACATAACATGACTTCAAAAACCTTTTAAAATGAAGTGAGCGACAAATTAACAATGAAGGGTGCAACTATATGGAAATTTGAGTCTTTTTTTTTTTCCAATCTTTTTTTTGGCATTTCATTTCACATTTGAGAATGGGCCTCTCCAAAATTCGCTATGTTTCATGAATTCTCTTACTGCAAAACTGGCTCCCCTTGCTGCAAAAAAGAAGTCAAAACTGACCCATGCCTGCAGGTTTCTAAAGGGAAAAGCTAGCACTTTGTGACAGAGATTCCTGCCGAACCCCCTCAGGGAAAGACAAGATATTAGCTGTGTTACTGCTGAAGTGATCAGGTTGCCGTTTTCATGGGCACAAAGCCCACAACTTCCCAGAACGCAGTAACTTCACATTTGAAAGAAATATGATAAGGTGCAAACACATTTCACTTTTAAATGTCAGACATCTTTTACTACTTAACTCGGCGATTTCAACTTCTGCCAACTGGCAGCTTCTCTCAAGCCAGGAGGACGATGGCAAACCAAAGTGGCTGCTGGAGCAGTGCCATGGCCTTTTCAGACAATGCTATAGGTTGCTGCATTTCCTCTAAGCCAAAGTGCTGTCTCTGCCTTTTGAACTTCAGTGTGTGTGTCAGCACATGGCAGTTCTGCTGGCCACTAACCCAGGTGCACTTGTATAGAGGAGCTACTGGGAGAGGTAGGTACTGGTAGGGAAAGGAGGAACTTCCTGGGCTGAAGATGAGCATAAGGGGCTTTGCCCTGTTAGCAATCCAGGTACACAAGGAGCTTGAAACAATGTACCTCAAATAGCCTGATCCTGAGAACGGAAGAAAATCTGCAATCCTGTTGCAGTTCAGTGGGAATTGTAACTATTCAACCTTATTGATAAATTCCACAGGATCATTAAAAACTTGTGATGTTTAACAGAAACTTCTGTGTAAATTTTATTAAGTCATCCCTTTACAATTTTAACACAGGGGTATATTTTCTAAAGGATAGTTTAAAAAACATAACAAAACTCAACCCTACAGTTCAATTTAATCCAGCTCCCTTAAATACCACTGGACTTTTTCATAGCCTGACTGCACAGGACAAGGCGCTAAGGCTGAGGATTTTGAAGGGCCAAGCAGAGTTAGGCAGTAGGCACTGTAGGACTGCAGATCGCCTTCACTTAGACTCTTGAAATTCCCAGCCCATATGTTCATTGACCTGAACTCAAATATTTATGAATCTAAGGGATTTTGCTGGTTCACAAATTATGGCAATTGTGCATGCTGAGATTTTGGCACCCTTTGAGTACTTGGACAGATATTCTTCTGCTCCAAAGCCAAGTCATTTATTGTTAACCAGAAGAGTCTAAGATCCCACTAGTCTCTGGATGATCCTCTTCTTTCAAAGTTATAATGGTTAATCATTGTGAAGCGGACAGTAATAAATTGGCTGGCTGTTAATTATGAAGAATAATCATCCATTTTGATAAAAGAAACTCTGTTCTTAATGCCATTAATATAGATGGTTTTTTTCCTGGCAGTTAATTGTGATTTATGGGTTTATACAGCACAAATGCAGGTGACTTATTATAATGTTTACAGGAAAATAACCTACTGGGATTAGCACAAACATTTTTTTATTTAGTCATCTGCTAAGTGCTGAGTTTCAGTTCCCTGGTGATATTCTTGATTTGAGCTGAACTAACTTTCAAGAAATTATGAGACCATCTAGATATGTTGACTGGATTTATTTGCTGTCTTAAGAGGGCTTCTCAGTTCATAAAGTGGAATAGCCAGATTTATAGGGGGACGAAACAAGAATTGGTAATTTCCTCTGAAAGTTCCACTAAATTTAATGTATGCACGGACTAGGGCGCAGCATGTTCTCTGCCTCCGCATAATGCCAGCCAAGACCTGACTTTTTTTGTTTTCCTTTTGCAACAAGATATATGGATGGCTTAGTCTATAGTAAAATTCACGGAGACCTGAGACATTGTTAGACTTCCAGGAATACCCTAGGCATTCAGGCCTCAACTTTCAAAAGTGACTACTGGCTTTGGATAGCTCAATGCTGTGCATAAAAAAAGGCTGAGATCATTCTGAGAATCTGGCTTTTTCATTATGTCTTCAGGTCAACACCCAAATACAGAAGAGCCCCATTTGAAAATTTTGAAAAGAGTCCTATTTGAAAATCATGGCTCATGACTATCTGGTTATTAAGGTAACCTTTCAGTCGGATAGCTCAGCGGGTACATGCCCACTTTTTTCTTAATTATGAGTTTTAAGAAAGAGCAGTTTATAGCAAAGACTCTGAGGAACCTGTCCTAGTAGGAAGGTGGTGCTGAGAACAAGGCATTAGACAGGGGTTCAGGAGATCAGCTTTCTGTTCCTGTCTTTGCTCAAAGCATCTCTGTTTGAGCTTGGGCAAGAGACTAACCCCTTACTCACATTAGTGAGCAATTATTAGCAGAAGTAAGGGTATGACTATCTCTATGCCTTGCTCCTACTCCGTACAACAGAAATACTACTTGCATACAATGGAAATAAAGGGATTCAGGAAGCATTCATGCACTGCCAAGAGGGAAATATGTCAGTACTCAGGGAGGGAGATTGTAGTGGGACAGTATAAACAAAGAAGGAAGATGGAGACTGAAAATAAATTATTCCTGTTATCACTGAAAAGGCAGGAAGATTTTTCAGATAGAATTCCACTTCCTGGGGTATTTTTTTTTTAAATCACATGGATGTGTTATCTTCCCAGGAGAGTTGGAGAAATTCAAAGAAACAGCAACCTTATAGAAAGTGAAAAAGAATAATTCAAGTTGGAAAACAAAAGGTGAGGAAGAATCAGAGAGAACTGCCTGAAAATATAGATACCATCAAACTGCTAGATGACGTTACCCATCCTAGACTTGTAAAACTCCTGCAAGGTGCTCAGTATTCAGATATATTTTAGTGAAGATACATTAGTGGATTGTCTTGGAAACATTTATACTCTAATTTCAGATTCTCTTGTGTATTTCATGGGACTGTAAGAACACTTTTCCTATTTATTATCTACTCATCTGCAACAAAATGTTATAATTACATTCAACATGATTCCTAGTGGCCAGCACTCAATGGTCATCTTTACCAAAATCTTGTAGAGTGGACCATTGGCCTTAAGCTTGTAGTTTTGCTGTGCTTGTTTAAAGTGTTGACAGTTCGAACAATGTTATCATGAGGCCTGCAGTATTTGGTGTTTTTTTTAATACAGCAGTGTTCCCACTTTCCTCTCTATCCAATGGTATAGGATCAGGCCCTGATTGCAATCTTTTCTTTAAAAAACTGATCTTTATGTTAGGTTGGCACTGTAATGTTACTGGCCCTGGCCATATGCCTCATTGTTGACTTGGAAAGGGTAAGCCGGAATTGCGTCACCATGTGTTCAAGCCTTGGCCATTCTGCTAACAATTAGGGCAAATTGTGATGGAGGATTTCCTGCAGTGGTGTGAAAACAGTTGTGGTAACACGGCAGTGGATGGTTGAAATGCACTGAGATCATAACCTCATGTGACAAACAGCTATTGACTGGGAGTGATTTTCTAAAAACTACTAGCCTGAGCCACATTCAACATGGCAACTGCAGTTGAAAAGTCCCATATCCCAGTCCCAAGCTCGAGCCATTCATTTCCCACTTGACGAATACATTTTGAACAGTTAGATTTCATATTAGGATAATTTGTTTTAAGCTTTCAATTCATAGCTAGCCAGGCAAGTGCCCGCTGTGTGTGAGATACCTGTATTTATTGGGGAACATTCTCTCACAGTCTTTGCACTCATAGACCTGCCCATCGCTGAGGCCTTCCTGTTTTATCTCCTCATTCAGGGTCTCATACAGAGAGCTGACAGTGTTGCAGGCATATTTCTTGTGCCGCCTCAGGTCCAGCTTTGACTGGAAGAGTTCATCACAGTCTTCACAGCGAAATGTGTGGTCCTCTGAAAGAGATGGACAAAGCAGTTCAGCTTTGGTGTTAGCAAGTTCACATAATGCCAGGTCGTTCGATCCACTAGTTCTCTGGCTCACAAAATGCATGTCAATGAAGATCACTGCAAAAGCATGTTTACAAGCCACAGGTATAAAATCCGTCTCTTCGAAGCAAGCAGGTGCAGCTAACATCAACTGCGACTGGCTGAACGTGAACCATTCACATCAGCTCGGGCAATGTGGAGAAACCACAGCCTTGAAGCAGTCGAACTCTGAAAGGAGCCCTGAGTAAGCAGCAGCTTGAACTCCGCTGTCCACGTTTGCTCCTGAGCCTTGTTAAGGCTTTGAGCCGAGACCAGCAGGATTTAGTGGATTTACACAGTATTGGAGATTCTGTGGAGGAAGGAGGATTGTCTGTTTGCTTGCTTGTCTATCTGTCTGTCAACGTGTTTTTAAATACAAATACCTTGATGGCTGTTTCTTCCTGTGAAGCTGTCAAGAAAAAAAAACAAAACAAATTACCACCTCCCCCCAGCTGCACAAGCCAGAATGATTATTGCCTCCCCAAAAGCCTGTAAAAGATAATCATGTATTTATGCTAGGAAGAGCTCAACCCTGGAGAACTGCACTTTCCAAGGCCTTCCCTCCTCCCCTCTCCCCAGTGTTTGTTATGCAGCAGCCAGAGGGCTTCACGAAGTAGGGGGAGTTCGAAGACAGAGCACTGTGCAGCAAAGAAAAAGAGGCCAAATTCTTTGTTTAAAAAAAAAAAGATCTAATGCATATAATAAATTATTGTAGTCAAGGTCAAACAAATTAAAAAGAGGGCAGCTATTATTAAGTTTACAAGGCAGCATCCTGACCATAGTGCCAAGTCAAACAATCAGCTCAGAGCTGTAAATTTTCCAGGAGAATGACTTCTGTGAGGGAGTTGGGACAGTCCAGGGTTTCTCCACCCAGCAGTCTACTTGAAACAGAAGCTTTTCATGTAGTTGCTTTCTGCTGTGTTCCCTCTTCTCCTCACCCCCCACGTTTCTGAAAACACTTTTCTGCAATTAAGGCTAGGTGCAGACATTCAAAAGGCCCAAGGTGGACTCGATTAAAGTTACGTGGTTTTCTGTAAGCAACCCTTTGTTGGGGTGGGGTGGGGTGGGGTGGGGTGGGGAAGGGGGCCAATCTTAGACTGGGTTCTGCCATTTTTAAACCAGTCTGCATGTGCCGAACTTCTGTTCCGTCACAGGTATAGACCAATTTCCAATCATGCAAAATGTTGCATCTGTAGCAGGCCTAAAGTCCCTTTCTCACACTCTGATAACATTGCTGCAAATGTAAAGCCTGCAGTGAAATTCATTACCTTAGGAGACAGAAGGAAAATATTATTTTTAAGGGATGTTTGCTCAGAGTTAATTTAATGAACAGCATCATGGGTAGTGTGTGGTACAAGAAAGGAGATGATAGATTAAAAGACAGAAGGCATTTCGATCTCTTGTCTGCCTATACGGAACTGGTATTTCTAGGATGTGTAAAACATTTAAAGAGATTTCCTTGCTAAAAAGTGCTGGAGATGATTATTGGCACCAGATTTTGCACCAAATATCACAATTGCCTAAATCTTTGTTTTATGAAGTGTGTTTAGTATAAATCAGAAGTAGCTCCCCTGGAGTCAAGGCAGTGATCTTGCCTTGAGCAGAGAGGTAGAGTAGATGACCTCCCGAGGTCCCTTCCAGCCCTATTTTTCTAGGATTCTAGAAGCCAAGACAGTATCCTCTCCACTGATCTTGTATAGCTTCCTTGTCTGAGACCCAAACACTAAATCTCTTCCTCCCTTTCAATATAGCCCAGTGCCATATGAACTAGACCGTAGAACGCTATCTCTATTCATGGCACTTGCATTTAAAGTAGTATCAATACTGTTAAGGAGTCTATTAATACTTACAGTTCTCCTGTGAGGTGAGGGCAATGATATTGCTCCCATTTTAGAACAGAGAGAAATAAAACAGGGAAATATGAAATTATTTGTTGAAAGTGAGAAAAGAAGAGAAGAAAGGATAATGGAAGGGCGGGGGGAGAAACAAGGACACGGTTTTCCAAAAATTAAAGTTTTTCTCAGAATTGTTTTGATCACATTTGAATTTGAGCTGAAAAAGTACAAGGGGAAATAGTGAAAATTACCCAATTTTGTCCCCATTTTCAGTTGGCTTAGACAAATAACAGAATTTGGGAGTCACAGAAGAGTCAAAGGCCCCTTGCCTTCCAGGGGTCTGGACTGAGCCCCTTTTAAAAGTTTTTATGGAAATAAAATGGGTTTATTAGAGCTTGTGAGGGCTGTGCCAATTTGTAACTGATTTGTATCATAGTTCTGGGGAGGGAAAGCTGAAAATGGAGACCCAAGAAGCTCCCTACATTTAATTGGTGGTTGACAAAACTGCATTAACTGTGGTACTTGTTTTTGTCCTGTCATCTAGCAATTGCTTCTTATTAAAAAAAAAAAAGTTGCAAACAGTTATGTCATTATGTCACATTTTCACATTTCATGTGACCTGACAGCAGGATGGGAAATAAGATGCTACCAGGCCAAACTTAAGACTTCATCAGAGAACATTTCTGGACTAAAATTATACCTCTTTTGAGATAGAGCTGAGTTAGACAGGAGGAGTAGCATTACCTTCTCCAAAGCATGGGTGCTGAGGGAACACTAAAACCCACTAAAACCCTAAAAGGACTTGTCTGCACTCCTGGCATTGCACTCATCCTGGTACCATCTATAACTGGGCTTGATGGGCCACCTACCATACATTCATTAAAGCTAGATCTGTGGAGCAAAGTGCCAGCAGTGCTTGCAGTATTTATGGTGCCTCCATTTTTGCTCCAGCTTTGGGTATCAGAAAATGACAGATGAGCTGGAACCAGCTGGCTCATTTACTTCACTGATCTGCATGATACCTGGACGGAATAGTTTTGAACTGCTCTGGTAATGAGATCACCTCTCAGTAAAACATTCTGCTCATCTACTGTTTCTCTCCTTTATTTTTCTTCTAAGAAGACTTAATGATGTCTGAACCTCTCCCAACCTTCTCCCAGCTCCTCAGGTTGGAGAATCCCAAGACTGATCTCCTAAGAAATTTCCAGTGTATCCTAATTGCATGCAGGACAAAAATCTGCCCAGCGCAGCTACACTGTAATACTTTGGCTTTCACCCCAAAATAGAAAACTTAGAGGGGGGAGGAAATTTTTTGCCTCAGAGAACATTTAACAAAGAACTTCCTCAAACTTCAGAAATTCTTCCTGTTCCTGTACAAGACTTATGGGATGGCTTGGGTTCGTTCTTATTTTACCTCGAGCCAGTTTCTAGTCGTGGAGATAGGCTGATTAAACAGGAACCCGGGGGTTCCTGTTCTCAAAAGCAAATGTTCTCTCACAGAGTTAACTGCAGATTGGAAACACATAGGCTCACCTACTGTGTTACAACACATGACATAGTGCCTGCCTAGAGTCCAATTTTGCCCTCACCTGCCTCATCCTGCACCTTGAGAAGAACTACGGAGGTCACAAGTTGTGCACAAGAAATCTGATCCCCAAAAGGTATCAGATCCCCAACTGGCTAAAATCCATTGATACCACCTGAAAATTGGAGTGAAGAAGGATTCTGCTAAGTAATGCTGGAAGAAGTCAAACTCTGTGGGCATGTCTACACAAGGTGCTGACTTCAAGTAGCCAAAAAATACTTTTCAGTAGCGTGTCACAGCATGGACAGTGCTAATACACTACTGCACAGTTTTATGAGGCTACTGAGCCATGGGATCACCTAAAAGATGTTTGCTAGCACTACTGTGCAGTAACTCCAGTTACTGAGTACTAATACAAGTACTAAATAAATGTACAATAATGACTGTGCAGTAGTATCTCATGTAGATGCATCCTGTGTGTCTTTATTACCCCGCTCAGTTTAAACATCTCTAGTTTGGGCTTTTCCTTTCTGTCTTTGTTAGGCAAATATTTTAAAGATAAAGCTCATCATGCTTCAGTTATATTAAAAAAATAGACCTGTTCTGTGCAGTCTCATGTACCAATGGCAGTGATGGTCTTCTTCCACTATTAAGCACAACCAGCTTTTTCATCTGCACAAAGAATCGACAATATAAGGGGAAATGGATTTTCTTCACACAGAATATTTGGTAAAGAAAACTTAGAGGATAAATAAAAAAAGATGACAAAACCGTGGTAGAAACATACCCTAAAATGTCTTCATGTTTTCTAATTTTTTATTTGTGTGTGTGTGTGTGTGTGTGTATATATTCAATATAAATCTATATAGAGAGATTTTCACAGAGTGTGCGTGTGCATGTCCATCTGTCTATCTGTCTATCAATACATCTATCTATATGCACATTTACCATGGCTGAATGGGTGTGCATGTGTGAGCAAATTCTTTGGAAAGCTAGAAATAAGCCCTGGTAAACACTTCTGAAGAGAAGAAATTGACTGGCAAGCAGAATAAAGAAAGATCCTAAACTGATACATAATAAATATACTTCTTGTATTCTGAACTCTGCATTTTCATGAAAACAAATATTTTACAATTATCAGTGAGTTTAGCTTTACAATACCCTTGTGCATTGTTGCAGAAAAAGAAACCATGACACACATAGATTAAAGGCTAGAGCAACACCTTGTAGGAGTGGATCCCACGTCACAAAGGAAGCTTAGTACTGAACTGAGATCTCCTGGTATCTGGATCTCTGCCTTTGCCACAAAGTCTCCAATTTATAGCAGGTACATAAAAGGTTTTTTTTTTTCTTTAAACGCAATAAATAAAAATGCTGCCCTATGAAAACAGTTTACTGCTTCCGTGTCGTAGGGGGGGAAAGAAAAGAAAAGAAAAGAAAAATCCAACAACAAAAAAATTGCTGCCAGTTCTCTGTGTCTTGTTTGTCAAATCTGTGGTTATATGCGTCTATCTTAAGTTCCATCAGTAACATTCAGGACAAAACAAGAATGTAACAGAAAAATAAATCAGTGCCTAATAGCTTTCAGAGAAACCAAGGGGAACACAATTATGTGGCATCTACATGCTAATCTACCAGACTCAGGTCTCAAAGGAGTTCAAGAGCCCTACTCAAAATTCCTGCAGTGATAAGGGGTCTACTGCATTTGGCTGGGGTTTGGATAAAAGATTTTTATGATAATTATCTTTGTGTGGAACATTTTTGCATTTTCTTTCTTCTGCAATTCAGAATTTAAATGGAGGGTAGGGGGAAGACAGCATTATCAAAGGTAGAAGTATTAAGAAGTCAAATATTCAATGTTGGGCTATTATAATTTAAAAGCAATTAGCTGCCAAAAGCATGATACATTATTGGGAAGATGCAGAAAAATGTTATATAACAACAAAGCTGGCATATTACAGGGAACAAGGTGTTTTTTGCTTGTTCAAATAAGTGTCACTTAAAAGCAAATATGAAATCTCTGAAGCAAAACAGATCATGCAGCATTAAACCAGAAAGCCTTGCTGATTTTTTTTTTCTATTTCTTTTCTAAATTATCAAAGAGGTATTCAGTTTTTACACCATAATTGGGGAAGTACCACCAGAAATATCTTATATCTGTGGCTTGCTTTTAAGGAAATCACGAGCATTTAACGCAACAATGAAAAAATACTCGAAAAAAAAATCAACTGAAGGTTTTAATTTGCATCATCTGTGTTTTCACTCCCTTCTCATCCACTTTTCAAGGAGTACCTTAAGCAAAGGAGTGTTTTGGCAGAAACAGTTCACTGAAACAACAAATTGCAAACAAATATTGCAAAAAGCAGATTTTACACATTCATCTTCCTAAGTGTTTGCCATGGAAATCTGAATCCAAGTTACATTTTTCTACCAGTAAGGGAAGTGTGTGAACAGAAGGTCCAACATAATAGCTCAAATTTCAAATGCTGATTATGCCAAACAATATACAATTAGTTCATGAGCAGCCTATAGGCAGAAATATATTTGTATAAATTAGTCATAAAATAATGGGCATATTTACATTAATAATGAGCTGTTTTCACAGTCAGTGGCTGACCAGAAAAGGACTACATTTAAATAATAATTCATTTACTTTAGATAATTCACCCACTTTTAAAACTAACCCCCCACTTTTGTCATTACTAAATTACAGGAAAACTAAAAAATACATGAAAATCTGATCATACCTTTTGTATCTAGTTTTACCAAGGCGTTTTCATGAGCTTAGCTTTAAACAAACACAGATAAGTTCTGTTTCCGTTTTAGTTTTTTCAAAGATTTTTAAAAATATGGGTTTGTGCCCTTCTTAATTTCTTTCCAAAGAATAAAGAAACCTTGCCTGGTTACTTCGTCAGACTCTTGTTTTCTCTGCTTAGCTTTTTTTATTTTAGCTGTACCAGGAATAGGATGTCTGATCTTCCCTACTTTGGCAGAGATCCCCTCAATGCCTCAGGGCATTTGCATTAACCACTGTGTTAAACGTTAGTAAACAGGTAAAACATAGGAATGCAAATATTGCCAGACAGGGTCAGATCACAGGCCCAGCCAGCTTGGTAGCCTGTTCCTAACACTGTGCAAAAACCTTCCTGAATTCAGCTAAATAACCCCCTGTCTATAGGCAAAACTTTTTCGTCTTAAAGCAAGAAGGCTGGGGTTTCTTTGAAAACTCTTGGGTTTTCTTTCTGTAATCTTTGCTGTAAGAATCCTGGAGTTTCTTGCTAAAGCCAGCTGCTTTTAGTCAGTTTAAAATTAAGCCCAAAATTTTCAATAGCCTGACTAAAATTCCCTTCCCCTAGTTGTTGTCAGAGTGGAAATGCAAGCAGAAACTCCTCTTACTCTTCACTTTTAATTTGGAAAAAAATCTTTTCCACCCGTCTTCAAACACTATAAAAAGGGGGGAAAAAATACCAGTGCTTCCCCCCAATTTTCATGTCGCCTTTAACTAGACATAGCAAGTGGGTGGCAGTCAAAAAGAGAACACAAGAGACCACAGGTTCTTGCTCTAACTACTGTAAAACACTCATGCCTCCCCAAAAATGCAACGGCCCCTTTGATGTCCTGAACAATGACTGAACTTTAAGAAGTAATATCAATGCATTCAGGGGAAGATGCCTTTTTAAATATAAGAACTTAATCTCTCTGGCTGCTCAATACACAATGTACCTCTAAGCCATTTGCTTACTCAAGGAGTCCATTTATGCCCGGCACCTTGACTAGCCAGCTCAATCTGCTTGCCAAGTGAGACAGTGGAGCAACGAAGAGTTTATTTCAGTAGAGCCTGTCGCTCTAATGAAGTGGTTATCAAACTTTTCAGACTCAAGACACCTCTCATTAGACTCAAGACACCCCTCAGAAAATACCTGCTCCAAATTTACACACTTGTTTTAACTACAAACAAGAATAGAGCAATTCTTTTCTTGCAAAGAACTTGGAAAGACCACAACGAGTCAGAATGTTTTAATATGATGGATTCCTATTTGAAATCTCTAGGTTTATGTTGGGAATCATGGTTGCACACCTAACAACACTAACGTTTATGGCACGCTTAAAAGGATCTTGTCACACCTGTTGAGAACTGCTGTTCTAACAGTTCCATGGACCCACCAACTGATGCTGCCGAGCCATCCACATTAAAATAGCACTGTCACTGCTGCTCTGTGCTCTGACGCTCTAAAGAACACAGAGTGGTTTGTAAGCCTTGGAATGTGTCGCCTTGCTTTTATTACCCACAAACAGCCATGGCAACCCTGGAAATTAATAAGCCATCCCCTATAGTATTCAAAACCACAACATTCCTTGAAAAAATATTTAATGTATCTGTGCAAGTCTTGAGGTTAAAAAAATCTGCTTAGGCATCGCTGACTAAGGCAGCTTATCTTGCCAATACAGAACAGTATAAAACACATTAAATCTTAGAACAATCAACAGTTACATAACAGAGCAGGTAACCATGCAACTTAGTTTCTTGCTGCATATTCTTTTGTTTCCTCCTGGTGCCAGGTACGGAAAGGTGCTATCTAACAGTAATGATCTTACCTTCCATACTGGGTGGCATGTTCCCAAGCGAATAAGCCCCTTCCTTCATATACACCAACAGTTCTTCTCCTGGCTCAATTTCTTTAATAACTTTATAATAGATCTGCAAATAGGAAAACAAAAACGGAGGAGACATGTTAAATATGCAAAGCCACATTTTACATTTTTACACAATAACCCAAATGATTCCAGCTAATAGGGGAGGCTGTCACTTGATTTGTTTGATAATTGCTACTGAGAGCTCTTTTGCTGCCTTTATTTATTCTCTATGTGTGTCAGAGTTTCATGTGGTTTGAATGATAAAGTGGTATTTACAGTAAAAGTCTCTCTCCTCCAAATTACACAAAATCTTCCTTTTGTGTTTTCTTCTAATACACTTACTGATACTTGTTAAAATAAATGGAAAATAGACAGAGCACAAGTTTGGGTCCCTGCCTAAGCCAGTATCAAACTGTTGTTTGAAGGGGGGTGGGGGGACGAATTCTTCTGCTGGTGCAAATTAACATAACTCCTTGGAAGCCAACGGGGCTACACCAATTTACACCATTTAGAATCAGACTTATTATTTCTTAACCAGACCCCTAAAACATGCTGTCTCCATTGAAGTACACCATCAGTCAAACCCAGCTTTGCAGAGCCCATTCTACATTAGAATTTGGTGAGTGCCACACTGTGCATCTAAGATATCTGTCTTGCTGCACTGAAGAACAAGCTGGGGAACATAGAAGGAATTCACAAGAGGGTAGGGGTCCCCACAGTCTTATGTACCATCCAAATCGCTTGTAAAATAGAGCTTAAATGGTAAGACCTTGTATTGGTCTCCTGCATTGGGATTTATTTTGCCCACATGCACATAAGGAATAAACAAGAACAGAACTGCAGGGGTGCATTTATTAGGGGAGAACAGTAGTCATTTCTGCAACAGGAAAATTCAATAAATCTGAGACAGCAAAGACTGTAATGCTTCTAATTACACTGAAACATAAATATACACACGTGAGACATTGTTGATTTCATACATATCATGCACCATTACTTATTATGCATACTCCAAAGTGTGTCAGACCCTTTACTAAACACATTAAAACAGCTTGGTCCCTGTCATGAAGAGTTTACAATCCACTGTCATTGACTTGTAATGGTGTCGACCGCTGCAGAATCCTGACACCAGCATTAAAGGTGATGGTAACAACTCAGCAACAATGTGTGTGTATGGGGGAGTGATGGTTCTGGACAGATCATGGGGTTACATGGCTTGGGGGTTACTTGACTCAATGGTTCCCTCACACTGCAGTGTATATTAACATTTAAGTGCAGCTTGTGGGCAATGCAGAAATGGTGGATTAGGACAGTCTTGCATGTGGGAAAAGTGAACGCTTCAGAGATCATGACTGGAGGTCACTTCATGAGGAAGAGCAGCAAAAGAAAAGCACAGAGATGGTAGTGACTGAAGGACTCCCATGGCTGGAGCTGAGCTATTGTCAATGTCAGATTTGAAAGAGACGACGAGCAGCCAAGAAATGCCGGAGGTTCGGCCCCTTGGATGTGCGGTCAAGACATTTCTCAGTTTTTATGAACATTTTGGCCCTGCCCTTTTCTAACAATTATGCCCTGAGAATTCAGGGGCTACTAGTCATTAACCTTCAAAGTCAACGGCAATGCTTTATTAGTACAGGGCAATCCTTTTAGTGGCAGTGAATAAACACCAGGTTGTTTTACACATCAGAATTTTCTTTTTGGGTTAATTAGCTATCCGTCTCCTTCCTCCCCTACCTAGATCCTTTTCCTAAATAAGATGCAGACTGTATCCATCACCTCCTTAGTTTGCTGAATTAGATACAACAGCTCTCCGCCAACCCCATGTTTCAGCTGGGATTGAACGCGCAGAATTCTTATACCTCTATACGAAATGCATCAATCCGTTGCCTTAGGAAGACTTTTTTTAATTCACAAAGTCTCTTTCATCTCCTTGTACCAACAGTACAACAAAGAACGACTGTCAGGCTGTCAGAGGTTCTGACCATCCGCCTTTCCAAAGGATGTGAATAAGACCTGTGGGTGTTCAGGACTGCACGCGATTTGGCCCTCATCATTTCAGGATTTGATCCAGCCAAAACTTATGCAAAGAAGCAACTTTCCTCCTGTGAGTAGTCTCATTGAGATCAACACGGAAAAGGTGACAGTGGTTATCCATCTGGGGTTTCCTCCTAAATTAAATCCCTTAGGGACATCAAGAAAACCTCAGGTACGTTAATTAATTGTGTTTCCATGTTACCACTCGGTACAGAGATGGCAGTTTACAATATGCCAGTGAAATGTCTCAAGCGCTTGATTATATATTATTAGAGTATATGGCACTGCTGTCTGTGGAGGGGTGGATACTGTGGGAGAAAAATCATTCTTACTCTTAATGAGAAGTTACACCTCTCGTCTCCCCCTCTCTCTGTGTTATGGCTTTTTTTTTTGAGTTGGCACCACCTCTGCTTTACACGGAAATGAAATAATTGGTAAAGGACACATTTGGGACTTGGTTGTCTACCCCTGAACTGAGAGATATGTGCCTGAGAAAGGACTTGACCCAAAGTGTCAGATCCAGAGATAAACTTGAATTAATACTTTTCCATGTTTAAAAAAAAAAAAAAAAAGAGAACAAATTGGGTAAATGTATTTGCCAAGAACATAACTCTCAGCCTTATCACTCTATTTCAGGAAGATTTCCTCACACATTATCTGCAGTCATAAGTAGCATTCATGGATAAAGGTTCCATTCAACACATTTTGATTGTTCAATTAATATTATGTATGCCTTTCTTGAAAAATATGTTGTTTTAACCATGAGTGATAAAGAGCAAGCAATTAGTTTTTTTAATTGACTTTTATAGTACTTATATCCTTTAAATGGCATACCAAAGTATCTTAACCTCTTCTTAGGAAGTTTATATTACAGCTTCTGGGTTTTTCCATTAGGGGGCAGTCTTTACCAACTAAAATGAACTTACAAATTATCCAAAAGCTGCTAGCACTGCTCTTCATCCCTACCCCTCACTTACTGCTCTTCATTAAACAGTTGTTTTAGGGCCATTTTCTTTTCTTTTTTTTTTTTTTTTTTGTTTTTTACCAGTTTAGGACTACGCACATGGAATGAGGTATCTATAATTGGAGAAAGCACCAAGAAGCACTCTTTGATAGTTTTAACTTACCTTGAACGTTGCAATTATTTTCACGTCACTCTGCAAATCAAAATAAAGACCTGACCCCAACCAAAAGCACCAAAAATGAACCAACCAACTGAACAAAAAAACCCCAAACAACCAAAAAACATTAAATGATAAAAGAATGGAGCAAAGGAAGAAAAAGAAAGAAAAATAAATAAATAAATAAATAAATACATGAGATGTCTGACCTGTTTTCTCTGGGTAAGGTGCAGCAATTCAGAGACCTGAGTTAAATTTAAATCTTTCCAGTAAACTATCCCAGTGGGGTTGATGGCAAAAACCATCCTCTGTACTTGGAGAGAGGCAGCTGGTATTGCAGGCCTGGTGACAGCTCCTGAAGGACTACCCTGGCTACTGCATTCTCATTCTGTGCATCTCTCTTGTAGAGGGGTTTCTTTAGTGATCCTCTCTCGATTATCTAAACTCCAAGCCTCAGACACTCCCCCTAATCTTATCAGTGAGGACTGGGCTCTCTGGAGACCTCCCTATATTATGTATGTAATAGAGACTACAACAGTGCTACAAATCAAAGGAAAAGGAAGTTTGGGTTATACAACCAGCAGTCCAAGTTTTTAACAGGCTGAAGCTTTTATTTTTGCAGCTCTTTCTTCATTAAAACGCCTGAGATTAGAAAACTTGTAATTGAAATACAACAACAATCCTTATTACGTAGAGAAACACAACAGGATAAATCTAAGCATTTCAGAAAAGACAAAAATAACAGTTTCTATCATTAGTATATATTATCAATGCAAATTATCTGATTTTCCCAATTGTTCTTGTGGGCCTTTAAAAATGATTTTTTTTTTTAATTTAACTTGAGCTGGATGTGAATTTAAGAATTAATACCATGTACACAGAATTAATATCACACGTACAGCAGACGAGCATGTTCTGACACGAAAGGTTTTTAAGTTCTGCTGTTTAATTGGTGTCTTGCTTCAGTAACATGGACATGATGCCAAAGAGTGAAGAGGAAAAATCTAATCCAGTTTTCAATGATTTACGGGACATCCCCTAGTGAAGAGTGCCCCACCTTTGCACGGTTCATATTTAGCTCGCCTGCAAACGCTACCAAACTCTGGTAAAGATTTTCGCTGATTAGATTGTAATGAATTACTTCATCAGAGCTACAACAGCGTGATCCTGAAAGTTAACATTATCGTGCATGCTTGCCCCCCTCGCCCTCTCCCGAGTCAGCCTGTGCAGCCCTCGCTGAAGGGTCAAGAGCCTTTCTCTGTAAAGTGTTTTGAGATCCTTGATTGAAAGGTGTTACAGAAATGCAAAATGGCATTATTTTAAATACATAGAACACAAAAAGAAAGCGAACATATTCCTGACAGAATATGCTTCATTATTTTCTACAAACCACAGTCATTTGCATTCTTAATAGGTTCCAAAGAAAAACTACAAGTGATTTGAAAAGCTGCTTTTTCAAGTAGTCTGTTTTTTATTTTCAGATCATGTTTACTTCTTTCCTGTCATGTACAACAGACACAATGAGCCAAATCCTGGACACCTGACTCTGTTTTTAGACCAATCCATTCTCAGGCAAGAGTACAAATGAAACCAGTGGGAGTTTTGCCAGAGGAAGAATTATCTGAGAAAGAGCTTTAGGCCTTCGCCCAGAAAAATCCCCCAAACACTTCTACATAAGAGAACTTAGAACAAGTCTGAAACACAAGATACCTACTAAGGAACACACTGGTTTGAGCCAAAAATCCCAATACTGACAAACAGAGAAAAATCTTGGAGATTACATGTGAATGTAAAAAGCAGATGATCAAAAATCACAAGAGAAATCCTGTTGCATTGTAGTTAATGGGCAACATTTCCATTGCGTTCAGCAGGGCATAGTTTTGGCCCTATATATTTTAAGCTACAACAG